CTTCATGCTTGCCCTGACCATTTAGCAAGTTGCTCAAATTCGCTGCACTTTACAGGCAGACATTTGGTCTCTCTCCACCTTCTCTCACGCAAAATTGAATTTATCAGTTAGAATCGTACCTTGCCTTATATACCGACACATCAACTGGGTGAGTTAAAATAGATAATCCACAAGTATTAGCCAACGCGATTAGGTCGCTTAAGTGCTCTAGTTTTACCGCGATAGGCTTGATTGAATGATTGCTTATCCTTGTCAGTCTATGCAAGTTAGGGTGAACGAGTTAAACACCTGCCCATTCTCTTTATGCTGATATGCATCAAATTGCACACGAGTCATTCTTACAAGCCGGATATTCTGAAGAGTGAGTAGACTGATCGATGTGGAGACCCGAATCATTTTAGTGAGCCACATGCATTCGAATGTAATAAATTTGGTTTGAATCGTTGCATGAGACCAATAAACGAAATTTATTATTCAACAAATGCTGCAATCTGTTGAATGTTTTCGTATGTAAGAACACCAGAGTCAAGCATTAAGCGGCATCCTACTGACCACTCCTCCATATTCCTTAGCCAAACCGAAATCAATAACATAACAAGGCATAATTGACGTGCCATCTTTAAACTGGGAAGGCTTCACACCTGCAGATCGTTAGGCATTTGTAAGAATATTCCCCACGCAAATCAGCCTATGAGCTTCCATGTTCTTAACTTACAAGGCGTCTTCCTTACGATGTGGCGTAATGGGTCATGTGGGCGATTCCACATTCAACTTGCACACTTGTTAGCACAAAGTTGAACAGGCCATAAGTGGAACAACTGTTTTGGTAGGCACGTTATATTTTGTACACATTCATCACTGTTAGTTCAAAAATTGAAGAGGTGTAAAGATAAAGAGAACTGTGAAGTTAAATATTTACTTCCCTTGGTCGAAGTGAATAAGGTGCGCAAAGCATAGTTGCCAGCTCTTACGTGCTGGAGAAGGTATTACCACTTGCGGTGACGGTGAGTGGCGCATTAGGGTTCCAAGCACTACGAATTAGGAGGCGCTCTAGTATACGTAAACTCAAGGGCTGAATTACTGATGCCACGAACTATGTACACTGGACACTGATTTGCAAGCAATTTATTAAGCATTGAAAGCCATTCTACAGCAAGTATAAGTTGATGAGAGGCCAAAAATTAGTAGGAAGCATGCTAATTAGGATGGAGGTTAGAAACGACCGCTGTAGGGATTAGACCTTACAGATAAAAGGCTGCTTTTCAGCTGTCTAAGCTATCAAATTTGCTACCAGTGTGCTATTTCCTTGTGCTAGCCTGTGCCATCAAGCACAGATTCGTCGGCTCTCCTGTCAGCAGCAGACCAATTTAAGAAATCTGGACCGATCTCGCATGTGTGACGTCGTAGTTGCAGGCAGCGAATGACGGTTAGTAGAGAGTTCTGACTTGTCTGCAATGCATGCAGATTTTTTTGAGCTACATGCTTAAATGCCATGAATGGAGGCTTAAATCATTGTAACAAAGATCCCGTCAGTAAAAACTGGTAAGATCCACTTAGACAATATGCATAAATAAATGATGCCTACAGCTATCGCATGTCTTTAGTCTTGCTCTCAGTACTGATTTTCCTTCGCCAGGTTCAGCCGAGTCTAGAATCCTTTCGCCATCCCTCCTTCCCACATCAGCATTTAAAAGTGGAAAAAAATGGCTTTTAGCATTGTATGCCATTCAGCCTTGTGATTTTGTCAGCATATTGCAAACTTTGCTTTGGCTATACCCTTAGCCTCCTCCAGGATGCAAGATGGAGCATTTCTTTCCAACAGAACTGTGAGCAGCGAATTTAACTGCATCACGTAAAATGTGTTTGATGCAATTAAAAACGGAGAGCAGAATGCTGCATCGAAGTGAATTTTGCGATAATTTGGGTTTTACAGCTGCTAGCGCCTCCACAAGTTGACTGCCATTATTTTGCTCACTAGTGTCTCTTGACTCTACCTCAGCATATGAGCATCAATACGTTCCCGATTCACGGTTTGCCAACTCACACACTTGGGCAGGCCGATAGGCAGAGGATGGGGAAAGAAAACTGAAGGATTCCATTAAATGCCTGGAGAGGTAAAAATATGGAGGAATAGATGAATGTACAATGTATTGATGCAAAAACGAAACAGGTGAGTAAATAAGTGGGTGAGT